ATATATATATATACGCCGCACATATACAAGACTCACAGGAAAAGTGAAAGTGGAATGTGGAAGTGGAATGTAAATATACCTACATACCTAGATATAAACAAAAAGAATTAAATTGAGCAGCTTCGCTTGTGTGCGCTCTCTGAGACCGAGACAAAAGCGCGCGCGGTGATTGGCTGGAGCGAGCGCAGACTACCGCACGCGAATGTTCCATTCATTTGCAAATGAGCTACTATAAAGCCCTCGCTCTAGCCTCTCATCGATGAGCTGCCAGTCCTGTTTGGTTTGTTCACAATTGTATATTTACTGTATATTTACTCTGCTTTATTTACGAACCGAACGGTTCTGGACGGCGGATCACTGACCAAGCCACCTAGTCCGGAATGTCCCCCGCGGCTAGACTCAGAAATGGTTTCGATGTGGAGGAGGAAGCATTTTATGCCGCTAAGGGTGACAGAAAGGTAAAACCATTTTGCGTTGTCTATGAATGCCAAAAAGGAAAAGGAAGTCTGTGGTATGCTTAAACACCATATTTATATATAATTTTCTGCTTCAATAGACTCGAAAACCAATAGTGGAGAAAAAGAGGCGAGCGCGCATTAATGAAAGCCTGCAGGATCTCAGGACACTACTTTCAGATAACGATGTAAGTTGATCTCCTCTTTACTGCCTGCACCAGCGACTCTTAGTCAGCTGATAGATAGCCTAAATAGCCGGACCTCACTTTGTAAATATAAACAAATATTAAAGATGTTTAGACATGTTTATCTACTTTTATCAGTTGCAGACAAAAATGGAGAATGCAGAGGTGCTTGAACTAACAGTAAAACGAGTTGAGAACATCCTACAGAACCGTTCTAAGGGTAAGATGACCCCAACCTCAGTTGCACTGCACATTTAGGCAATTAGTTTCCATGAAAATTATTTGAAGCTCTTGTGTGTCTGGACTTCCAGAAGCTGAAGCTGTGAATCAAGAGGCCAGTGAGAGATTCGCAGCAGGTTATATCCAGTGCATGCATGAGGTACATACCTTTGTGTCCACATGCCCGGGCATCGACGCCACAGTGGCTGCAGAGCTGCTTAACCACCTGCTAGAGTGCATGCCATTAAATGAGGATCACCTTCAGGAGATGATCATAGAGCTCATATCAGAGCCTTCCTCCTCCGGTCGATCATGGCCAGCTGGAGAGGTGCTAAGTCCAGGAGGCCGCAGTGTGTCCGACCTATTCTCAGCACTGTCTCCATCCCCATCCAATCCTTCTAGTGAGGACCTCTGCTCTGACCTAGAGGAGACAGAGACCGAAGCAAGTCCTGCATCAGCTGAGGACAGCCTGAACTCCTCCATCATCACACACTCTAAGTTTATGTGGCGGCCATGGTAGAAGTTTCTTCAAAGACCATGCATCTTTATTCATAATTCACTTAATCCTGTATTGGAGCATGATGGAATTCTTTTCTCATCTGATTTTCTTGAGAAAATGGCTGGAGCTTTAGGATTTTATAAGCACAGGCTGATTTAGTGGGATAAGACATCATCTTACAGAAAAGTATGGAATTCACAGTGACTTTAACATACCCCTGGATATTTTTTCTTCTGAAACATGATGCCTCGAAGCATAAAAGCTTATTTAGAAATTAATTTCAGATTGAACTGGCTTAAAAAGTAAACTGTAATGGTGTATACTAGAGATTGAGAAATTGTTTTGTTTTAGCGGGTTGAAAGATTTGTTTTGTGTCTTTAGAGTTAAAAATATAGAAAGTCTCACTGAGAGACTGTCACATAGATAAAGTCCATGGCCCTGTTTAGTAGTCATTAAAAAGTATGTTTTTATTGTTTACATACTTTAGGGACTATATATATATATATATATATATATATATATATATATATATATATTGCAAGTGTAACATAATTTAGTGTCAGTTCATGGTTTATAATTCATAGTAGTGCAGTATTGCAGTGCCCAGTTCAATATGTATAATGCTTTTTTTTGTTTGTTTGTTTGTTAATCTGTAAGTTTATTTAATTTGGACATTAAAAGCTTTCATGTCTATTTGTCAGTGGGATAGGTGTGGACACACACGACACAGTAATTAACATACATTTGAAAATCTAAAATTTGTAATGAAAAGTTTGTCTGTCTGAAGATTGTCTGAAGAAACAGAATCAATTATGGTAATATTCAGCAGTTAGTGACATAAAATATCAAAGCCGAGGATGCTGAAAGAAGGAAAGCGTATATATACATTGTATACGTTGTGGTTTATGGTTACATATTAAATCATTACAGCTATATGGTTCATAGTATATATGAATAGTGTGTGTATATTAACTTTTTGGTTTTTTGCCGATAGATTTCATATGTATACCAGTGACTTAAAGTGTCATCAAATATTTGGTCAAGTAAGATCAAATGTTATCCAGATTCTAAATCAAAGAAACTAATGGAAGACCGGAACACTTTAATAATCCTTGCAGTTTAGAAAATGCATAATACTGAGGAGAGGTTTTAGTCTGCTGTGTTTAATATTTAGTTATTTACTGAATTTATTCTAATTTGTTCCACTTTAATTGATTTAAAACACAAATAAAGCTTATTCAACATTTGCATTCATCAGATGCATTAATAGAGGTTTGAACAGATAAAGAATAAATTGAGTAGGGTGAGGGGTCAGCTAACTGTGTGCTCGTTGAGAGAACAGATTGTGATGAAAACAGATCCCTTGTGACCAAGATGTTTTACGCCTTAACCAACTGGTTTATTTTTGAAAAAAGAAGAAAAAAAACAACTTAAGAATAAATAAATAATAATACATTTAAAAAGCGTCTCTCTGTGCCCTTTTTAAGCCCCAAAGTGTTACTAATAACCATTACTGTAATTCTGAAAACTGAAATGCATATACCCGAGACCTAAACAAAGTGTCTGCATGCTTTAAATAGATTAATCCTACTTTTATGAAAATTATAAAGCAGTCTTGAATCATACATTAACAATCTGCCATAATAATTCTTAAATACCTGTATATATGGGTCAATGACAAATACAGCTACTTTTTTTTTTTTTTGAATGAAATGCATATTTGAGCTGGAAAAATGTTTTAATAAGTTTCATTTGTTAACATTACAAAGTGTTTAGATTGATTTTTTTGACTGTTTTTAACTTCACAACCCAAAAAATGTCAGGTGATACAACCAAATATTGTAAATATATATTTATATTCCTGTTATTATTTCTAAGTGGTTGTGCCACCATGACATTTGAGAATACCAATTGCTGGACAAAAGTTCTCCCAACAGCTTTATTAAATCTATGGCATTTGTGAAATTTGTTTATAGAAAAAAGTTTTAAACAAAATCATGCAACATTATTTTATTTAGCATTTACTACAACTAAAGCTCCATTTTGAATAGTTTTCTTAGATTGTTCATAATATGTGCAGATGGTTGTGCCACCTGACATTTTGGAGGTTTGAGATACCAAAACATAAAATAATATTTATCATTTCAATGTACTCAAAATGTATTCAACCTAAAAAGGTTTTATATTAATAATAATAAAGGGATACTTGTCATTTCAAATTATTTTAAAAGGCAATAATGCACTTAGACACCAAAATACGCACGTCTTGTCATTGACCATATTCAAATCATAAAAAAATGGTCAGTTCATTAATTTAATCAACTATGTATGCCAACATTTCCCCGTAATCTTGCATGTTTAAAACAAATTACTGATTTTTATTTTAGGTCATGAAATTTTAGTTGATGCTACAACAATATAACAAGATCAGTGGATGTTACTGGCTTGTATCATGATGTTTATCAGACAATTAAAACTGCTGACAGACAAGTGTAGATATCATCTTTTTATTATTAAAAGGTAGGAATAAAGTGACATGTTTATCTCACTACATTTATGAAAAAAGAAAGATGAAAAATATAGCCACAAACCAAATGACATGCTTATAAAGACTAACTAAATGTTATCATAACCCTATGGCTCTTTTTCAGCATGTCATTCAGTCTTTTGCTTCAATACTTCACAAATCAGAAACAAATGTAGAGCCAGCTCCAATTTTTCTGCTTCAACACTACTGGCCATTAAGTACACTCGGTAGTACACTGAATTTCAGATAATAGAAAAAGAGTATTTCAGGTATAGGAACAGCTTCAGACCTTTTACAGAATGCTACACATAAAGCTAGTTTCCTCCACTCAGAGAACTAGTGCCCTGACATCTTTGTTGAACGACTGCATTGTGACTAGAACATTTGAGCACAAAACCAGTCATAAGTAGCACGGGTATATTTGTAGCAATAGCCAACAATACATTGTATGGGTCAAAATTATAAATTTTTCTTTTATGCCAAAAATCATTAGGACATTAAGTAAAGATCATGTTCCATGAAGATATTTTGTAAATGTCCTAATGTAAATATCAAAACTTTATTTGTGATTTGTAATATGCATTGCTAAGGACTTAATTTGGACAAGGTGATTTTCTCAATATTTTGATTTTTTGCACCCTCAGATTCCAGATTTTCAAATAGTTGTATCTAGGCCAAATATTTTCCTATCCTAACATCACCTGAAAGCTGAATAAATAAGCTTTCCATTGATGTATAAATCTCAATTTCAAAAAATTGAGCCTTGTGGCTGTTTTGTGGTCCAGGGTCACATTTGTATAGCCAAAAGAAGACATGAAAGAAAGGGTAAGAGAAAGAAAGAAAGATGATAAGTCCATGTTCAATTTTTTATGACTTACAAAAGACATCTACAAAAATATTAGTTTCCATGATTGCACATCCCTGAAGACATGCAACAAATACTTGCTGTCCTCTGACAAAATGACACAAGGGTCCTGTAAGACTGGTCACAGGAGCTTTGGCAGCAGCTTATTTGGCTGGAATGGTCCCCAAATAAACAGTATATCGGTGTTTCATTTCCTGGTTTTGATTTTTAGCAAAATGCATTTGTATTGGCCCATATACTGTTGTGTTCACAATAGAACTTGTGTTTATAATGAAAAACTTACTTTTTTCATTTATTTATGATGCACTACACTTCATTCCACTGTTAGCTGGTACAAACAGTCTGGCGATTTCTGCACAGAGCATCAATCCACTGAAGAAAACTTTGCTGTAGCAACATATTCAAACAGTACAAGTGAACTGGAAAAACTATAAAGAGACAGAACCACGGAGCAGGTTAGGTCCATGTGACAGCGGTTCCATCCAATCGGAGTTTGCACATTTGAACAGCATCTTTGGGTTAATCAGTCAGCTTATCTGGCATACTTTTGTCTACACACACACACACACACACACACATAAATAAATAAATAAACACATTCATAATCTTTTAAAATGACAAAGGATATCAGAGTAGATACCCCATGACAATTTTACTTTGTGTGTACAGGTGGGAACCTGAAAGGTCCTGTTGCCCTCTGCTGGCAGAGATTAGTGGTACATTTTCAGATTATACACTAGGTTGCTCCTTCTCTTCCTGTGAATGAGACCCATTCGTTGGCATCTTGTACCACTTCTCCTCCCAAAATGCCAACCTCCATATCGGGTAGGTCTTCTAGCAGGGCAGAGACGTAATTCTCGCAGTACATACACTCCTATACAAACACATGCAAGAGTCTTTCAGCTGTACTCTTACCATTCAAAAAACACAAGATACTGTAAGCATTGAAATGAAAACTCAAAAGTGACTAATTTATGGTGCTCTTCATACGCAGGAACTCTGTTAACGGTCACTCATTTGGACTGATAGCACTCTGCATGAGAAAATCTACAGTTTCAGATTTCCCTGGGAGCATACCTATTCCTAGGACCCTGGGAGCATACCTATGTTCCCAGGGTCCTATGGTTCCCAGATTTATATAACATATAGAGGAACACATGAAAAAGGGTCATATGTGACCCTGGACCACAAAACCAGTCATAAGGGACAATAATAAAAAGCTGAATAAATAAGCTTTCCATTGATGTATGGTTTGTTAGGATAGGACAATATTTGGCCGAGATACAACTATTTGAAAATCTGGAATCTGAGGGTGCAAAAAAATCTAAATACTGAGAAAATCGCCTTTAAAGTTGTCCAAATGAAGTTCTTAAGCAATGCATATTACTAATCAAAAATTAAGTTTTGATATATTTACAGTAGGAAATTTACAAAATATCTTCATGGAACATGATCTTCACTTAATATCCTAATGATTTTTGGCATAAAAGAAAAATGGATAATTTTGACCCATACAATGTTTTTTTGGCTATTGCTAAAAATATACCCAAGTGACTTAAGACTGGTTTTGTGGTCCAGGGTCACATATGTTCCCAGGTCCTACAGTATGTTCCCTAGATAGACATATCATAAATGATTAAAATATATAGATTGTGAATAAAAAAATAAATTAAAAAAAGTCTCCACAATCTGCCTTACCAGATAGATCCTTAATATTAAGCAGCTTGTAAGTGTATTTATTTCTTGTCTCAGTGTTTAGCGCTGTTGTCGTTGCTAGGAAGTGCAAGAGTGCATATTCTACTGCAGTTGTATGGCTGTTTGTTGATTAATATTGTGCTTGAACTGTCTAGAACACACAAGGTTCACATTTGTCTTATTGTTTTTAATTTGCATCTTTGTTTTAATTTTTAATAACAAAAATACAATAAAGCGAAATAATATTTTGATATATCGCCCACTAGGTGTGGGCAATCTGTTGATTTTGCATTGTGCTTGAAGACTTCAAGCAAATTGTTGACTCATCTGAACGTCTTACAGTAGGACAAAGATACAGATTAAATAAACACCTCTGTATTTATTTCTTTTATTGCTTGTCATTTGTTTCTTTGTTCTAACTGTTTATTTTACTTTACTAAGCTTGAAAACATTATTTATATTAGTTAGGCTGGTAGGGTTTACTAGTTTATACTGCTCATCAACCTGTAACTTGTCTTAAAAACAAACCAAACCCCACCCCCCAAAAAAGTGATAAGACTGTGGATCATGAATCTGCCTGAAAAAAAATATATGATATTTTTTCCCCATATCCTCCACCTCTACTTTGGCCTGAATGGTCTGTCATCCTTTTTTTCTTTTGTTTTGTTTAAATAGGGAAATTAGTTTGGCTCAGTAATAAGATCCTGTCTGAAAAGATTTGTGATATATTTTTTTTTTCTATATCGCCCACCCTTAGAGTCACATACCATGACATTGATGACATTGGGTAACGCTCCTCTCCTCATCCAGGGGTGTTGATCAATCAGTTCTCTACGCTGTTCTGAAGAGAAACAGGGCTGGTTCTTCTGCATGCGCCTTAAACACTCCCGATCTTCCCCCAGAACCTTTTCCATATCCCTGTCCCAAAACACCAACGCTATTAAAAAACAATAAGCTCTGTTGTAAAAGTTTAAAGTCCAAATGAAAACAAAATCTACATTTACTTTGCACACTGGTAGTCTTTGGGTGAAATTAATACACTTTAATCAAAATCTAACAATTTTGGCATTCGTTCTCTGATGACATCAGTTTGATGGCTTGGGTAGAGTATCCTTAACCATTCCCTTCAAACCATTAGTTTGCTGTGAGAAAGATGGCAGCGATGTGCACTAAAAAAAATCCCTGCCCTCTATTCAATATTCCGTTTCAGTAGGAAGTACGCCAATACCGAAGAAAAGTGAGAGCAACGTCTGGTTCAGATAGACTTTAAGCACTCACAATGCAGAGTTTTAAAAGCTCTTCTGTTGTGTTAATTTACATAGGAATTATCATTTACTCACTGATTGATCAGCTCAGTTACAATAAGCTCAGTGAAGTCCATTCAATTAAAACTTGAATATGTGAATAAAAGCCTATATTAAATCTGTTCATATCATAAATATATTAACTACATACTCCATTCAGAAGACTTGGATTAAACCACTTGATTCATATAGATTTCTTTCACAATCCATTTATGAACTTTTCAAAGTTTGAATGTTTTGGTCGAATGGGGAGATAGAAATCTCTCAGGATTCATAAAATCTATATTAATTTGTGTTTCATGGATGAACAAAAGTCTTATGGGTTTGGAATGACTTGAGGGTGAGTAAATGATGACAGAATTTTCATTTTTGGGTGAACTTTACCTTTAAACACAAAATTCCCTCTTTTCACAATACAGACAGAATTGACTCTCACCTTGATGGCACTTGATAGGTCATCATGACAGTCATCATCACTGGCTGTAAATCTCTAAACAGGCTCTTGAAGAACATACTTAAAATTCTCCTCCTGTTCCTTTATGTCTTCGCTCTTGTGATTGTTCTCTGAGGAGTCCACACTGCCAAAATACTTGCTTGTGTTGCTTCCTGCTTAGGAAGAGAAAATGCAAAACATGTTTAGTTTTCTGAGCTGATGCTATTATATATTACGATATATAATAACTCTGACTGGTATGACTAATCTATAATAAAGTACTGGACATCATGACACTGAAGCCACTGAGTCGCCATATTTCTATTTCTACAGTAGTATCTTATTTTTAAAAAATCATCCGATTCAAAATCGAATGCCTGTCAGTCGCTGACGCCCTCTGGTGGTCAGTCATCTAGGTTGACTTCACACAGGTGGTTAATTATTATAAATAACCAACTGCACATTATTAAATAGAAAAGTGTTATGCGACTGTAACATGCTCAACAATTTTGGAACTACCCATACTTAATGGTGAATTTGTTATTAGCATAAAGAAAAGATTTCTACATACAAGTACTTTATGGATTCAAATGTCTCGAGAGGTAACAATGGAAGAATATTGGTGTTAAGTATTTTTTAGTATTAATGTGTTTATGTTAATGTGAAGCATTAACTTGCAGTGACCTGTTCCACTATTAGAAGTGTTGCAGTCATTGGAAGTGGAGCCAGTAGATGCTGACATGGCAGAGCCTATGCCAGAATGAGAGTCTTCCTGCAACAACATGTCCAACACACTGCTGGATGAGGAGTGGTCACCACAGTGGCCACCGTTACCCGAACAACATGCCTGGAAGAGTAGCCAGAGAAAATCAGGCGAAAGATGGAATTCATCAAGTTCATGATTTGCAAGGTGCGTGTGTTCAAAATTGTTCATATGTTTGTAGCCCTTTACCTGCTGTAAGTCATCCATCGCAGAAGAAGTGCTATTGATGGATGTGCTGTTTTTGTCCTGTACTAAACTGCAATTACCCTGGGTGCTGGACTGGGGTGCTGCGGTATGAGATTCCTGCTTTTCCTCCATCTGAAGCAAGTCCAGCTGCAATGGAGAACTACAGCGAGACTCAAATAGTGGGGGGGATTGAGGGGGTGGCAAAGGAGAAGGACACTCTGTGGACACAATGGCGGAGTGTTTTGGGTCAGATGTCATTCCATACTGAAAATCTGTCTGGGGTGTAAATGCTGGCTGCTGGGAAGTGAAGGAGGTATGGGTCTGAAAGCACTGGTGAGTTCTGCAGCCTTGAGGGTTTTGAAGGTGCTGCGTGGTGCTGTAGGCTTGTTGTGGCTGAAATGCTTGTTGGTCGGTGTAGACTTGTTGAGGCTGCAAGGGTATTGTAGGCTTGCTGGGGCTGAAAGGGCTGCTGACCATTGTAGGACTGCTGGGTCTGAAAGAGTGCACTGTAGGCTTGTGGAGCGTCAGCATAGAATGGAGAGCGAGGTGCTGTGCCTATCTGTGGCAACATAAAACCGGGCAAAACAAACGCTACAACTGGTGTGACTAATGGTGTAGGATATGCAGCCGTAGAGGGCGTGGCCTGAGTGTTCTGGGACTCTGCTATTCCTGTAGGGGCTTGGGGTGGGGCAACAGAGGGAACTACAGGGTAGAGAGGATATCCTGGAACCACAGTTGAAAATGGAACTGAAAGCCCAGACTGTGATGTCTCGGAGGGAGACCAAGATGTCTGGTTTAAACCCTGCAGGGGTGGGAGAGGTCTGTGCTGAGACGCAGCATTATCTGATGAATCAGGATGTTTTGTGCGTGTTTTCTTCGACTTTTTGGTGCGCCAGGTTTTCTTGGTGGTGGCCTCTGTAACAGGGACACCTGCTCCTGCTTTGGATCCACAAGCTCCTGTAGACGCCAAACGGGCAGAGAAAGAGTAAGGGACAGAGAGAGAGAGAGAGAGAGAGAGAGAGTAGACAATTAGTGTAATATAAAGAGAATTCCATGGACTATTTTAAAAAATATGAAAAAGGATGGATTGGGCAGAGAATCCTTAAAGGGTTAGTTCACCCAAAAATGAAAATTATGTCATTAATTACTCACCCTCGTGTTGTTCCAAACTCGTAAGACCTTCGTTCATCTTTGGAACACAATTTAAGATATTTTTGATGAAATCTGAGGGCTCTCTATCTGAGGGATCTTATGGGTTTGGAAAAACATGAGGGTGAGTAATTAATGACAGAATTTTCATTTTTGCGTGAACTAACCCTTTAACCACTCCCCTCCAACTGTCTGCAAGGGATGGCACCCCACACTCTATTCAATATTCCAAATCAGTTGGAAGTAGATCAATACTGAAGAAAAGTGAGAGCAACGTCCAGTTCACATAGATTTTAAACACTCATAATGCTGAGCTTTAAAAGCTTTTGTGTTGTGTTAATATACCTATGAATTATTTACCGAAAAATTTAATCTGTCATAATTTACTCATTGATTGATCAGCTCTACTACAATAAGCTCAGTGAAGTCCATTCAATCAAAACTTTAATATGTGAATAAAAGCCTATATTAAATATGTCCATCATATAAAGCAATCATCTAATTTCAGAACCACTGGCTTCATATGGATTACTTTAACCTTTTTTTTTTTTTTAAATGAACTTTTCAAAGTTTGAATGTTTTGGTGGAATGGACTTTCAATTGAGGGACAGAAATCTCTCAGGATTCATAAAAACCCTTCACATTACACTAATTTTCCACTCTCTGTCAATCTCTCTCTTTCTCTCTCCCATACTCTTTCTCAGTGAGATTTTTGTATGCATAAAGAGTCTGACAGCAGCCAGTGCTCCAGAGAAATCTCATCCTCGTCCAGTCTGTTTGGAATGACATGAAGAAACAGAAAAAAACAGAGACAGACTAAATCCAGAAGAACTGTGGCAACATCTACAAGATGCTTCAAGAAACCTACCTACAAAGCTACAATAGTGTGAAACGTTTTAGGCACTTGTGTAAAAATGATTTAAAGTGAGGATGCTTTCAAAAATAATGTCATAAATAGATTTTATTTATCAATTAACTTCTATTAACCAAATCAAATTAACATTTGGTGTGACGATCCTTTGCGTTTAAAACAGCTTTTGTCCTAGTTACTCTACTAGCACAGTTTTTCAGGTAGCTTTGCAGGTAGGCTTCTTTCACAGTTCTTCTGTATTAGTCTTTGTCAGTTCTGATTCATGTCATCCCAGACAAACTGGATGATGGTGAGATCTCTGTTGTCAGACTCCTTGTGCATACAAAAACCTCACTGGATTATTACAGTTAATGGCAAAAGGAATGTTTGGAAATGTAAACATATTTCCTAATGACACACTACAGCAAAATATAGAAATAACCAAATAGAAATAGAACTACTTTTTTGTTGGTGAAAATACTAATGGCCTAAGACTTTTTGCATTGTACTGTGTGTGTATGTATGTATGTATGTATATATATATATATATTATATGTGACCCTGGACCACAAAACCAGTCATAAGGGTCAATTTTCGAAATTGAGATTTATACATAATCTAAAATCTGAGTTTTTAGCAATGCATATTACTAATCAAAAATTAAGTTTTAATATATTATTCCTATTTGATTTGGTACTCAGAAAACCTTGAGTATTGATTATTATCAATGTTGAAATAGTTTTGCTGCTTAATATCTTTGTGGAAACCGTGATACGTTTTTTTCTGGATTCTTTGATGAATAGAATTTTCAAAAGCATAGCATTTATTTGAATTAGAAATGTTGTATTGTATAGTATATGGTACAATACAGTCATGATCAATTGGAGCTGTTTGCTGTGTAACACTCCGCGTAATATGCCGTGAAGAGTACAAAAACAATATGGGAGAGACGCTCACTTTACCCAATAAAGAAAAAATATATAAATCACAGACGCACAAAATCCGTATCAAATATCCAGTGTATTATACAAGTAGATCAAATATAAAGTAAGCACAAAAATGAGTGTGTGAGGAGTGTGGTAATGTAGATTGTCTTTGAGTCCGTGAAAACTATATACAAGATTTGAATCAGTCTCACCGGTGGAAAACCATGAAAGAACGTCTGAGAGCAGATCCAGAGTAGCGACCGAAACTGTTGTCAATGTCCAGAAAAAAAAAAAAAATGCACAAAATAAACTCCACAAGAGAGGCGGCAGTATAATCCAAAAACAGTTCGGTAAGTATTTGTTTGGACGTTTGAAGACCCGAGCAAAATAGAAATGAACAGAGTGAGCACCTACGCTAGGGCTGCATGATAAATATCGCACAATAGTAATGCGCATCTCGTCAGTAAAGCCGGTTCTGTAATCAGCGGTAAATCTCAACACGTGCGCCTACGCTCCTAAATGCTGGTAAGCCGGCTACCTAAATAGTAAAAAAAAAAACTTCCTTGTTATGGTCATGTGACAACCCTAACACCCGGTGCCGTGCAGAATCTCGCGAGACAACTTCATCCTGGGATAATACACACACACACACACACACAGGCATAATACAGAAAACGGGGCGATAATTAAAATAAATGATAAACAATGCCTGTGTTAATAAAAAAAACACAGGCAAAAACACACACCCCTTATGTGGCATTGCTACAGTAAGCAATGCCAGTAAGCATTGCAAAGTGAGCAGTAAGTATCCACAATAGGGATATGCCGGTATCAAATTTTCATGTTGCGATTAATTGCTAATGCTTTTATCATGGTATGCGGTATTATCACGATATTTAAATTAAGTTTTAAAAAAGTGCTGTCATAATACAGTATAACAGGTTTAATAACTTTTTTCTTATAACAAAAATAACTGAACATTTAAATGCAATAAAGCAATACAGAAAAATGTATAAAGTCAAAAGTTTTACACAGATTAAAGTGCAAAAGAACTATAAAGACCAATAGGTATCACTTTACAATAAGACCTCATTAGTTAACCTTAGTTAATGCATTAACATTCACAATGAGCAATAGCAACATTTGCTACAGAAGTTATTAATCCTTGTTTAAAAAATACAAGTCTTAGTTCATATTAGCTCATTAAATAACACAATTGCAACTTTCGATTTTAACAACATGTTATTAAATATTGGAATACCTAAGATTAATGAATGTTCAAAAGAATTTTTCATTGGCAGTTTATGTTAACTAATGAATTAACTAATGTTAACTAATGAAGCCCTAATGTAAAGTGTGACCGAACAATAAAGAATCAAAACACTTTCAAACAATATCTAGGGAATGTTGTAGTCCAGATTAAAATGTAAAAAAAAGTTTGAAAATAAATAGCCTATTAAGTCTAAATATTTAAGTATTTGGCGCTGTGATGAACATCATAGCAAATACACAAATCTGAATGGCTATTTAAATCATTTAAACATGATTCAGAAACAGGAAGTAGTGCAGCTGCTTTGTTTACAGGGTTTCCGGGGTAACGGCTGCATTTAAATGAATTATTATTATTATTATTATTATTATTATTATTATTATTATTATTATTATTATTATTATTATTATTATTATTATTATTATTATTATTATTTCTGCAGTTTAGCGCCATCTGCTGTCAGAGAGTGAAAGTGCGCTTTCATCCAGAGCGTCTCTCACATGTTCCGCCATGTGCTTCTCGTCCGCGCTTGTTTACATCAGAGTGCACACGCGTCTTTCACGCAGCATACAGCGGTGTTGTGCATTTTGACCAGTTGATGGGAAAAGTATTCTTAAAATGCATTCAAAATTCGGAATAATTTGTAATATATAAATTATTCACGGTATTTAGAAGTGCCCACGATAACAATATCGTGCATATTCATTACCGTGATATATCGCATTACCGAATACCGGCACAAGTCTAACGACAACTGTAGCCAAATTCCTTGACACGTCTGTGTGTGGTGGCTCTTGATGCCTTGACCCCAGCCTCAGTCCATTCCTTGTAAAGTTCACTCAAATTCTTGAATCGATTTTGCTTGACAATCCTCATAAGGCTGCGGTTCTCTCGGTTGGTTGTGCATCTTTTTCTTCCACACTTTTTCCTTCCACTCAACTCTCTGTTAACATGCTTGGATACAGCACTCTGTGAACAGCCAGCTTCTTTGGCAATGAATGTTTGTGGCTTACCCTCCTTGTGAAGGGTGTCAATGATTGTCTTCTGGACAACTGTCAGATCAACAGTCTTCCCCATGATTGTGTTAGCCTAGTGAACCAAACTGAGAGACCATGTTGAAGGCTCAGGAAACCTTTGCAGGTGTTTTGAGATGATTAGCTGATTGGCATGTCACCATATTCTAATTTGTTGAAATAGTGAATTGGTGGGTTTTTGTTAAATGTCAGCCAAAATCATCACAATTAAAAGAACCAAAGACTTAAACTACTTCAGTCTGTGTGCATTGAATTTATTTAATACACGAGTTTCACAATTTGAATTGAATTACTGAAATAAATGAACTTTTCCACGACATTCTAATTTATTGAGATGCACCTGTATATAAAATACTATTGTTAAAAAGTTAGAGTTAGTGTCTTGAGTCTTGGGTCTTTTTTATGTTTTTTAAGTTTCTTACACTCACCAAGACTGCATTTATTTGAACAAAAATACTGTAAAAACAGTATTATTATGAAGTAATATTACAATTTAAAATTTTCTATTTTAAACCATTTTAAAATGTATATTCACTTACTCTGACTTTTATTTGATATTTTGGAAAATCTGAGACATTGAGATCTCATCTCTGTAGAGAAGAAGTGTCATCACTAGGATCTTTTTCTTAGGAGAAAGTTCTCAGAAGCAGAACACTCTCCGTTTGCTCTCAATTCAGTCTCATAGCTGTCTAGGAGACACAATTGAGACACTGACAAGATCTAATTTGTGATTTTTCTTTCTTTTGACCAGAGACAGGTCAGATCCCTCACTGATTCACTCAACGTAATGAGTCGTAACACTTGAATGTTTCTGTTTCAGGAGCAGAAAATGCCTGAATGGAAAAGTCACAATATAGCAGATAATGAAACTATTGTGCACAGAAGGCACCGTAGTACGCTTTCTACCCGTAATTCTTTCCCTCCTCCTCTTCAGGTTAGTCATTTGAAGAGGCGCAGGTGCTGTGCTGAGGGTCAAGACGCTGATTCAATCTCAGCCCTCGAGAGAGAGTGAGAGAGAGAGAGAAGATGAGTGTGAGGAAACAGACAGGGAGAGCAAACGCTGCAGATGAAAAAGAGGTGGGAGGCTCACATCTCGCAGGTGGAAGACAGACAGACAGACAGACAGGAAGACAGGCACCATAAGGTGTTTATTTGGTTGCTAGAAGATGGTCGATATTCCCTTAGGACTCAAACTTTGTAAATAGCCCACTCCAGGGAAAGAAAGAGATATGGAATCCATAGGGAACCCATGTATTTCATCTCCCCGTCTCACACATGCAACACACTTGTAATGAAGCTAAGATTGGATTTACGGTAGTCCATACTTCAGCTCACACATAGAGTATATACTGTAGGTGAGCAGACATCCATTCACACATACATTCATTGTGGACATTACTGACCTGCGGCCCACTCATGTTGCCACGCGCTTTCACGGCAACTGATCTTATCTCTCTTGTTTCCCTCTCTGTCTTTCTGATGGTTTCAGAAGGCAGAACCCGCTGCGTGAACAGGCGGTATTACCATACAAATCAGCGAAGCATTTTCTCAACGTCTGCGCCACTCGCACACAGACACGCGCTCTATCACACGCTGATTTCAGATTCAAACATCAGATGCAAACTCCATTCTGTTCTCCTGTAACTACGAAGGCCAGTTTGGATCACGATTATCATCACACAGAGACAGGAGTTCCCTGATACACACATAATACACAACACCAGAGACTGACAGATAGATAGATAGAGAGAGCAATCATGTCTGCAGTAAATCAGGGTTTGTTGGCAGTGTATTGTGAGAACGAATAAAATGAGATGGGAAGTGTGTGTCTGCAACTGTTACCAAAACTAGATTTTTACACTTTCTGAGGTTTGAAGAAAATATGATTGGTGCTTGTCCCTGCAAACTTACTGGCATAATGCAAGAGCATCTGCATATGCCATCACCGACATTGATATGTGATGTACGGTGGACCAGTAGTGCAAAACACAACAAAATCTCTACAACACAATGTATAGGGCTAATTTTGTTGTGTTGTGCTAATTTCGCTGTGTTGCATCTTGTTTCCATCGTATTGTGCTAATTTCATTGTGTTGCGGCTTGTTTCC